TATCATTATAAGGACGAGGAAAGCAATCCCAATGTTACGACGTGGTGGGTACACATTTTTAAATCCGTTTTGCTGATCTTATAATTCAGGCCAAGCTTGTTGCCTGGCCAACCGATACTATTATATTTTATATTTAACACCTATATGTTCTAAAATTCAATAATTTTTACTACTAAAATCTTAAATAAATGCTTATGATAAGAAAAATGTTCTCATTTATATACATTTTTTAAGGTTATCTTCATATCCTAAAAATCCTTAATAGTAACAAGTAACCTACATTAAAATCGTATCTATAATATGAGAAGAAATAATAATTATATTTGACAATTTTAGTGTAGAAGTTAGAAATATTTATTACTTTTACCTATGTACTCTTAGATGTGTTGCATCATCACGCATCGAACGCCGTGCTAAATAAAAATTCAATTTACACTGTAGAAGTGTTTAATCCAGTTATGTCTACTTTACAATCTATTTATTAAGAAATACTATCAGTATTTCTAAGTCTTAGCATTTTTTTTTACAATATTGAACATCAATAAAGATATTATAATACATGTCCGCTTAATACAAAAGATATACAATAAGGATAATAATATAATTACCCTATTATTATGGGAAGAATAACAACTTGGCCGGTCACAGGTAGCGGTCACTGACAGACTCCCCGCAAACTTTAGTAAAAAATAATGGAAAAAATAAAAATGATTGCGCTGTACATAATATTGAAGTAAAAAATTGCTGTTCTAATTATGGATTGCGTACGAAATAAACAAACAGTATGCACCAAACACTGATTGTTTTTTTCGACATATATTAATTATAAATTGACATTATTAACGCTATCAACGCAAAATACAATGTCAAGGTACCGTCTTAGTACTCAATTATATTATAGATTTATACATTAGTGATTGTTCATTATATACAAAGAAATGTTGTTTACTTACATTTTCAAGCAATTTAAGTTAATGCATATGAAGACCCGATATAATTTAAAAATCGAAAATAAATTGACAAAAATTTCGACTCGGGCAGGATTTCAACGCGGTAGCTCAATTTCGAATCCGGTTCAAATCGTGCCCGAGTCGAAAATTTTTTCAATCAATTTTAAGTCAATTAATGTTTTAAACTAAGCTAGACCTTTTCCCAGTTCCGTCTGCACATTGGATATAATATTTTTCAAGAAACAAATATCCCCCTAATAGATATAATTTACCAAATACAACTAATTTTGCTCTCAGTTCTAAAACAATGCACGTACAGCTAATGCCATGATGTATAGACGTATGAGATGAAATAAATATTGTTTGTTGGCATCATAAATAAGGCTGGAGACAGACAGAGGGACACACGTCACCTTTTGATACATTTCCGCTGTCGTTATTAATGACGACTCATCGGTGCCGTCCCGCCGGGCTGCCTGCTGCAGGGTTGTCTCACTTTAAAAATGGAGAAAAAACTTCATTTCAAGGTAATTTGGTGTTTACTCTATACCCCTTAAAAAATAAGCTTTTGAAGATGATCTCTTTATTATAATTGGAATTAGTTTCAATTGATACTAAATAGAACGAACAGTAAATTTTTAAATTAATAAAGCGATGAATTTTGGCCATCCTACATCACAGATAATGTCTACCCTGTATTTTATCTATACATACTCAATAATACAGTCTGTATAAATTATATTATATTTTTTTATGTATGTACCGTGTTAAAATAACGTGTAATTCTCCAAAATAAACTAATGTGTTTAATTAAAAAATCTTTGCAATACATGAAATGGTATGTATAGTCGAATTTCCTAAATTAAGCGACTGGACAATAATTTTTGAGGCAGCCCTATTAGCCGCGACCTGCCCAGCATAATAATGGGTACAGGAGGGTGGCAACATCACCACCCCGTAATATCATGTGAGACGTTGGTAAATTTATCAATAGCATTATATCGCGAGCGCTCGCGCCTTATATTTTATTCAGTCTACGATGTTTTGACATCGATCTCAGCTCACGTTGAGTTATTTTGGATTTTTCTATGGTACCACCCCTGGGGACAGATAACTCTTACTAAACATTGACCATTTTACATAAGTCTAAAGATTATATAACATCTATGGACACGAGTTATAGTTTTCCCAACTTTTTGCCTTCATTTGTCAAACTAGGAAATAGAAGAAATTGGCTACGAAACGTTCATCAATGACATGGCAACCTCGCATTTCTTAAAGTGTCAACAGGAGTAAGAGTAATAACAATTAAGATACTTATCTATACTAATATTATAAAGAGGAAAGATTTATATTTTTGTATGTAACGGATAAAATCAAAAACTACTGGGCCGATTTTAAAAATTATTTTTTTCATTAGAAAGCTACATTATCACTGAGTAACATAGGCTATATTTAGTACTAGATTACTATAGACATCTATAGAAATTCGTACTTAAACCAACGGAAGGCGTAAAAAAATTAGCCGTAAAATGTCTTTCTTCGCATACGCTGCGAAAAGTATTAATGATAGGACAAAAAAATGTTCGACAACATTATAGAGTACATCAATATCTACAAAAAATATCGGGAGCATATGTCTTACTATTGTAGTTACGTCGCTATAACTACTTTTTACATTTAACAAATTGATAGAATTGCCGATCAAAATCAGACCGTGTTATCCATACCATTTATAAATTTTTATCAAAGTAAATAATTAATTTTTTATTCAAAATTTAATATTCAAGACTGTCTCAATACCTGATGATTACTTTTTTAATTATTGAAATCGGACAATACATTCAAAAGATATCATGAAATTAAAATAAAAATGCATGCGAGCGGTGGCCGCCATGCCGCGCATCGAGTAACTAATTCGACGATAGAGAGACATTGAATATTTCTAATTTTTTTTAACATTTTTATGCTTCACTTAAAAAGTTCTTTTCAGGGCTACTTAGTTTTAGTATTAGGAATCACACTTTGCATAATATTTGTCAAAGTTCTTTTCAGAACTATCGCTTTGAACTTGAATATTTTATTTTGTATTATTATTAGATTATTCTTAATTTTTCTGATTTAAAATAAATATCCTTCATAGCAATATGCCTAGAAGAAGAAGGTCGCAGCTATCTATGAATAGTTTCCAAGCGAGATTACCAAAACTTCGTCGTATTGGAGAGTCTTCTTCCTAAAATGATCGTCTGGAAAGTAGGGTGTACGCGTCCCAATCGCGAGACAGAGAATCTATCGTCGAACATTCAGGTTCGTCTTGCAGAACAAAATGCAAGATCGTCGCAGCGACTTGAAGGAAATAGAGCTAGGAATTCGCGAACGCGTGCACAGGACACTAACACTGAACGGTCGCAGCGGCTCCTGAACCAGCGAGAGTCTATCACGGTCGTTAACAGAGAAGACGCGCAATACAATTTTTTTATAATTTAGTGGTCGTTTTAATTATCGCATGCTTATAATTTAAATATTTGTAGTTATTTATGTCTACCTGTGCGAAGCCGGGACAGGGCCGCTAGTTAATTATAAACTCATTTTAGATCACACTTTTTGTTAAGACTTGTGGCGGCAATGAGATTGTGACATTAGAAAATTTCAGATAAGTCCCAATATTTTGAATGGGATAAGACTTGCGAATGTGACAGTATTGCCATTAAATACAAAGAATTTAAATTACAACAACGGGCGTTCACACAAATCTTGCAGGCCCGAAATTTATAGCGGCCTATAACTTGGTTTATTTATAAGAAAGCACGGTTCGCGTTGGGAGATGAAATTACGTGATACCATTTCGGAGTGAAATACAACAGACCTTGTAAGGGAACAATCAGTTACCTATGAGAAAATCTTATGTTTTGATTTTTATTGGATCCTATTTTTAGCAGGTAAAGATGTTCTAATCTAATGTACAACCTTGTAAATTTGTGACTATAGACTAAGGAGTCACGGGACTAATAATTGAACATCGATACTTTGAGTTATAAACCAAAAAATTATATCATTACATTTTTCAGACACAGGATTTAGGTTCGTCGTCGTTCGTTTTGTACGTCATGTTTTAAATTCCTACTTAAAGATTAATACTTTAATAGTACATTATGATATAAGTGCGGTAAGTTGAAAATTACAGCCGAGGCGATATAAGAAAGCAGAGGCTATAATTTTCAAAGCGCACGTATGTCATACGACGTTTTATGACATATTTACGAGGAAATGACGACATTTTCAAATAAAAACAATACAGCGAAAAGAAAAAGCACGCGGAATTATTTTTACTTGTCCACAAATAAGCGTTGCGCGCGCATCAACGTTTTTTTTAGGCAAAGGTACAAAAACAGCTAGTATTACTAATAAGTAAATTAATATTTTTGTGTTTTTGTTATAGATAAATGGTTGTAATTTATTGTCAAAATTAATTAAATTAAAGAATTAAATGTTTATTTGTTAAATTTTATTTCCCAAAGTTAATTTTATTCATAAAATATTGACCTCTTTCTGGACATAAAACCTCTTTGCTAAGAAAAAGAACACGTGCCTTTTACATTATATTATCGCACAAGTATGTAATGAGATACATTACGATACTGAAATTGGTGTAATTACAAGCACTTTAGCTATGTTATAAATTCACATTATTTAATCTAACGCACATTTTATTTAACCGCTGCAAGAACACAAGTGAATATAACATACTAGTTTCTTATTTTCAATTCGCAAAATAATCTAACTTGACGAAATTTTGATAATTGTGATGTTAAAAAGGTTGTACTTTTATTCATTGTGAATGAGATCTATCTCAATTCTTTAAAAAAATCATTTAAACAACAATGCAGCTATAATTTTGCGGCAATACTTTAGAACTGTAAGTAAACTGTCATAAAAAGCCATTGTCATTGTCAAATGTCACGTAACTGTATGTCAGTAGTTTCAAGTCTGACATTTTACAAATTCGTATTGAATTTGCGGTGTAAACAAACTTTAAACTTTGTTTTAAACATGGATAACCATCTATTTCAAACTAAATTAGCAAATCACAAGATATTTAAAGACATTAAACAAAGTTTGTGTGATAGTCCCGAAACAAAATTGCGTAATTTGATGGAACTACAAGACGATGTTTTGTACGTGTGGAATTCTGTTGAAAATTGCTTGTTTTGTGTAAATTTGAAACATTTAGAAGAACACGGTGATGAAACACAATATCAGGTATGTTCTTTTATATAACTTTATCTTCTATCATAAAATGTAACGGTCGGCATTTGATAGTAAACTTGGAGGTTATGTTATTGAATGTAAAACCATAAAACAATGTCATATAAGGAGACTAATTATAAGATAACTACTGATCTATCATATTATCATTAAGTTTTAAAAAGGGAATGAAATTCTTTAGGGAAACTAATAAGTATGAGTCTATGAATTTCTAATTGAGATGTTTTACATATGTTTTATGACAAAAAAGTCGTTTTTAGGAAAGCAATTAAACTTTACTAGTGAGTTAAGAGATGCTATTATACATTTAAAAATGTCTGCCCATCTCCATTAAAAACATTTATATGTGACTGATTTGATAGATAGATCACTAATATGGGCATTTTTAATATAGTATTGAACAAAAGGTCATAAAATTAATCCAGCGCAAGTATTTAACTTTCATGAAATTTAACTTGAACAGAACTTGTCATTGTATTAAAATATATTAACAGTTTGACTTACTAAATAAACATTTTTTCAACAGTTTTTAGCTTAATGTGCTAAAAATAATAGAATAAAAATGTTAAGGCAATATATTTCTTGCATTTTACACAAGTAGTATTTAAATTAAACACTTAATACAAGTGGTATGCAGTCCATAAAGTGGGAATTGTTAAAGGATAAACAGCACAGTTAGCAGATAATGTGGATTAATTACTGGACAACTAATAAGTGTTAAATAAAAAATTTTAACAAAAATTAAAATAGTATAAGAATTATGTATTTATTTATTTTAAAAAAAGGCCCGCCAGCAGGGTACTACAGAGTATGAATATATAGTATTAACAATTAATAAAGAGTATAGCTATCTGCATATCTCTTTAAGGTAGGCAAGCTACATTCATTAAATAGACATAGTGTGTGGTACATAAAAAAATGTTACGTACAGTATTAATAAATTACAGTCTAAACAAAGTGAGATAATTTTAAAGCTAATGTACAATTATTTAACTAAAAGTAGGTAAATACATTTCTTCGTTTTCTTTGTATTATTATTAATTTTTTGAATAAGTTTCAACAGCCGACGAAACCAGTTATAAGATAGATGGAGAGGGTCTAAGTGAGACAAATATTTGTTCATTAATTTACAAAATCTAGAGATTATTTAAAGGAAACACTGTTAAACGATTTGAACATGACTATTATATACCTTGAAATTTTACTTAAATAGGCTCTATAATATAATTGAATGAATGTTGAGCTAAAATGATTATGATATTCAGAGTCATATACATTTCAGAATTTTCAAAATCTATGCTTACAAATTTTTATCATTATTGAAATATTAAAATAGTAAGTAGCTATTTAGTTTCAGTTATTTTGTAAACAATGGAGTGTTGTTTTTAATTCAAAATAGTTTATTTGTCTTCGTGTTACTGAGCCTCAATTTTTGTATATATATTTTATGCAATGGTAATGTTAATGTATTTAAAACTTACGTAAGAGATACTGCATTTCCCAAGCTGTGTGTGTGATTTGTGTTCTATTTTTAACATCTTTTTTTTAAATCTTTAACAGCTTTTTATTATTTGTGTATCATTTAGATTTTCCTAGAATAACATTATTGCAGGAGATAACATACATGTTATCACCTGGATATCTAAGCATTAATTAAGATTAAATTAAGAAACAATTAATTTACAATAACCCTCAAGGAAAGAACCTACTTAGGTAGATGGGTTATATAATTTAAATACTTAATTGACATATTATTACTATTGACATACAGACTTAGCACAATATAATAACTAATTACTTACTGTTGTTTCTGTATACCGTCATTATAAGTACTTTATTCAAATTTCAACAAAACAATGAACTCTTGAAGACATTAGAAAGAGGTTGATTACTAAAACCGCCATTAATCTCACTTGGCCGTTACCGCCGAATTAATTATCCTCTGACCATACGATTTAATGGGTTTCCTGAGGGACCCTGAGGTTTCCGATTAAATCACTACTTCTCATAGGTCGATTTACGGTGACCATTGCGATACTTGAACGAAGATCCTATATTACTAGATTAGACTTCGACTTTTTGTTTAATTATGTATATTACTAAATAAGATGCATTGTCGACGTATTTTGACTTTTGATATCCAGGAATCAACAGGCTAAAACGCAATTAAATTTGACGGCGTTTTCATCTGAGGATGGTGGTTCGTTCCCCGACTTTTCGGTACCCTGCCGGTAGGACGACTGCCTAAAGGTTTAACTGGATTGTAAACGTTCTTTATACTAAAGCTTTAACGATGTTAATGGTAAATGTTAAAATTATTCAACAATTTAATAGTGTACCTATAAAAGCCAAAACAAATATTTCCACAATTACAAGATAGCATCTTAGGGGTTCACTTAAGAGGCCTTTGGTTTAATATAATATTGTTTGTCTTGCACTTATTAGTTCAACATTAAGAAATATTACATTATAATAATAAATGTTAAAAGGTTATGTATATAGTAGTTAAATTTATTTAAATATTATTTTAACTACGTCCCGTTTTTAAATTTTAAACCGTTTAAGTGTTTTATTTAAATGTGTACTACTCGCGTAAATTACAGACAGGTAGGTGGTATACAAATTTTTAGGTGTTACAATTTTTGCCTTGTAAAACACTTTTAAATTGTTTTATAAACTAATAGTATATGTTTGTTTTTTACCCATTATAACTTAAATATTTCTCTAGTAATATTAAAAATCGTTCTAACGCATTTAATAAAAAAATAAAAATCCCTTCTATGCTACTCCTATTCTGTGATAGTAGCAAAGCTACTCGTTATAGGGAAAGGAGTACAATGTAAAGAGGTAAGACGGTGCCCGCTTCGACCCGGGATAGTTTTATTGCACCCCGGACTAAAATAGGGGTGGACTTTGGATCTTAATTCGTAGATTAGCAAGGAAGCGATACTCGACACTTACAGTCCGCTAACTCGCTATGTCTAGTCTATTTGTTATATTCCAGTTATTTCAGGAAATACCAATAATTTCATTCATCAACGCACCATAATTCTTGAATTTATTTTAAGAGCTGTACATTCGTTAATATGGGGGAAATGTCTCTATCTTGTTAGCCGACCGACATACCGACCTAAAATCGATTACGGGTTGACTAACTGAGTGAATCTGTTTTTTTTTCTCGAAGAAGTTACTTTGTAAAGTCCCAGCCGATTTGTAAAAGATAAATATTTCGGCAACCCGCGATTCGCGTGCTTGTAAGCAATTCGGCTTGGGTTTAGACGTGTTAGATCGATGTTCCTAATGTATGTGAATCGAAGGAATACCACCGGGCTTAATTTGCCCGCCGTCCATTTGTTCCGATTGCGGTCTTATTTATAGTGGCGTTGCGAATTGGCTGCAGGAGTGAGCCCGGTTTGTGTTTACGGGAAGTTGGAGACGTCGTAGATTTATTCGTACACTAGCTTGTAGCGCCGACTTTGTTCTAGCATAAATGGGTATTATGTCCGTGTTAAGTTTTTTATATTTTTACTTGCTAAGTTACTTAACATAACTATTTTTATTTTATAAATAACAGGAGTATCTTACTGAAGAGATTGTTTAATAGCTGCTTCTTTTTAAACATCTAATACATTTTAATAAAAAAGTTTGAAACGCGAAATATATTAGTTAAACATATTTGCATCTATTTAAACTACGACCCGACATATTAGATGCTTTGTAGCCGTTGTGGTCACGGGGGCCTAAAGATCTAATGTTGAAGTCAAAATCTGCTACGCTGGCGCCATCTTCCTCCGTTTTAAACCGTTATTACCATCTTAAAGTGTGTACCTACTTTTTTCATATCAGGCAGATAGATAAACAAAAGTGAAATGCCCCAGTCATCTACTTGTCAACCAATTTTATAAGATGTATATTAAAAATGCTGGATTCTATTCTATTCTACCTCAAGTGTATATTTTCTTGTTGGTTTAAATTATACGTCGATATATGCAAATGCCAACTAAGGTTTCTTGTATCGATATTACCTTGTGAGGATTAGGACCCTTAAGGATTTGTCGGCCCGGGGCGATTCGGTCCGCTCTTTGTCTTAGCCACCCGGGACAGGTGAGGCTTCGGCTTTTAATTAGTAATTCCCGGATAGTGCGGTGTTGCCAATAAAGGTAGTTACAATCTGCACTATACGTATTGTGGTTTCAGCTACTCTTTTAATAATCGTCATGAAGTATAATATAAATCATAATACAGTTTAACATCAAATCAAGATGCGTGGTCGACCTATTTTGGCATATTTCGGAAATCCACAGAATGAAACAAAACGCGGTTAATCTTTACGACTTTGTCATCAGTGGACGGTAGTTCGTGACCGGCACAGAATTTTTGTATTCCTACCACCCATTTAATGGCAATATTTCCAGACAAAGTACAACTTGTTTCAGAAAAATTACAACTTGAGTATGTTCGTCGCGGTATTGCTCAAAACCTCACCCGTTGACTATTAGCCCCATACCTTGCAACCGTGACATCGACAAATTAGACTAAAATGTTTATTAAAAAAATAAACCTTCTAGACATTCTATTGATTTGTTCACAATTTCGTAATATAAAGCATCTAAGATGTTAAGTAGGTGGGTACCACCCCCAAGGTCTGGGCTAGTGTAAGCCGATGTTCATTAACCTGGCATGTTAAGCCGAAGCTTTCATACCAAATTGAAGATGATTGAATCCATAAAGGTATCAAATTGCCTTAACAATTTTCTTAAATGTGTTTTCGCCTTATGTAATAAAAAAAACAAATCAATTCATGAATTACGCTAAGTGTCCTCCACGTCAACATTCGTGCCGCTCATTGAATGGCACTGGCAACTCCTGCCAGTCTCTACCCACATAAAAATCAACCTTTTAATTAATTACATGTATAGAAAATACGTTCCGCGGATTTTACGCCTGCACCCGAACGAATTCAAAATGGCGTCATGTAAAATGTACATCGAATA